CTAGCAAGGGCCAAATCCAGAGAATCAGTCCAAAGGTTATAGACTGGAACACTGTACAAAACCCAAACTCAGTCCATTGGCAGCATCAGCTACTGTTTTTTTCCATAGGGCTAATCCTAGCCTTGCTTGTAATCCAGGCAGAGTGCAGCTGCTCCAGCTTTGTTGGATCAGATTTGATCACCCTGATTCCAACACAGGTGCAGCTAAGCAGGGCTGGCAACAAGTCCTGACATATAGGAACACAGCCAGTTGAAGAGTTCGACCCCATAAATGCCACAGTTAAGTGTATTAGCCGCTAAGATGTTATAGGGCTGTATTCTGCTGAAGCATAGCTGCCCTTCAGAAACTGAAGCACTAGAAAAGCTGCGCAGAACTAAATCTAGGCCAAATAGCTCCACTAAAACCACCACTTTCATGGGACCGTTCATTCTTTGTCACTTGAGATAGAGATATTAAAAAAGATACCGAGATAGATTTAGAAGGACTAGAGATGTGAAGGCCTGGCAAAATACTAGCAAAACAGGGGAACATGCCCCATTTTCCACACCCTTCCCAATTTTTTCATTACAGTGGTACCTCAGGTTAAGTACTTAATTCATTCCGGAGGTCCGTACTTAACCTGAAACTGTTCTTAACCTGAATCACCACTTTAGCTACCGCCGCCGCGCTGCCAGAGCACGATTTCTGTTTTCATCCTGAAGCAAAGTTCTTAACCTGAAACACTATTTTTGGGTTAGCGGAGTCTGTAACCTGAAGCGTATGTAACCTGAAGCGTATGTAACTTGAGGTACCATTGTACTATTTGGAGGGGGGGCTTTGCATCTCTATTTCATACCAACGAATCTGACTGTAATTTGTTTCAAGCTGCTTTTAATGCATTTCTACATTGTTATGACCTGCCAATATGAGGTGGCAGAGGGCTTTCTAGTAAAAGCTTTGCCCCCACTTCAAGTGGTAGCTTGGCTGGTCTTAGCTCCTTGGAAATGGGCCAACAGTGGCTGCCATATTGTTTTCTCATAGAATACAACATACTGAGTCATGCCATTGGTCCATCGAGCTCATTATTGTCTATACTGCTTGGCAGTAGCTCTCCGGGGTTCCAGGTGGGTCACTCCCAGCCCTACCTAGTGATGTCAGGGATTGATTCTCATATTTTCTTCATGCAAAGCAGATGCTCTACACTGAGCTGTGGTGCATCACATTTACCTCTTCACACAGAGAACTCCCAAGATTGTGGAACCTTGGTTGCACAGGGTCCCAGAAGATGGGGAAACCTACATGTGAAGCAGTATTTCTGTGTAGGATTCCCCATCTTACTTTGCCACACTAGCCCAACAACAGTGGTTTTAGAACTGGGGAGAACTGTGTGCCATGGGGCGGACCGTCCTGTAGTGTCAGTGTACTTTCTGAACTTTCTGTTCCTCTTTCAGGGCTAAATGCATGAAAAGGGCTGGAAATGAAAGAAAACAGATCTCTTTTGGTCAAATTTGGGATCATGGGGCAGATCCAGGTTTCAGCTTTCAGCTGCAATGCATTACAAAATGAGTTTGCAATATTGGTGACTAATTTCTGCAGAAGGCTTTTAATCTAGATGAAACTAGATGGAGCACTACGATACACACATACACACATGTTACTTTAACAATGACCTAAAACTCTCTTACATTATTGTTAGAGAACCATGCATGTACTCTATACATGGCAGCCTGCTTCCTTCTCCTTCAAAGCATTTTGATATAAGACGCACAAATAATGGCACTTTTCACGCATCCCTTCTCTTGACTGTAGGTTGTACCTCTCTCAAGTTCACTCCTAGTTTTAATCCTAGGAAACCTTGACCATCTGATATTTCAGCAGTTAATGGAAGCTCATTTTTCCATGGTATCTTGAGGTTTGCCTCTATTCAGCTTTCACAAGGACTTTTTGGTCTTTTGTTAGAACACATAAATAACGACCTTCAGAGATTCTGACGATCAATACACATGAGCTTTCATTACAGCTTCTTCAGTGAATTAATCAAATTACGTGGGACAAATGATTAGCTGCATTATCGTCACCTTTTCTGTTAGGACAATTTGTATATCTTAGAACACAGACTTTAAGTCCTAGTGGATCATCACTCCTTGTGATGGGCACATCCCAGTCCACTGGGTCCTGCGTTGCCTGCAGAAGGGAGACCCGGCCACAGCAAAGTGGACTCCTCTGCTCAGTCCACCTTACCTCTGTTAAGCAACTTCCTGCCACCAGATAAAGGGATATTTTTCTACAAACCTGCCCCTTTATCAGCCAGCTTAAAAAACCTTCCTGGAGTCTCCCTGAAGCCTTCTTCTCACATTGCCCCAGAATGATGCTATGTGCAGACCAGAATTGACCAGATCACCACTGCTGCTGCCACCAGGCTCACCCACATAGGAGGGAGCCCTTTAGAAGGTATTTTGCCAAGGTCCCCTTCAACCTCATGCTAGCCCATAAAAGCTAACTGTATCTGAGGAAAATGTGGAAAGAAGGCTTTTCTTGCACATGCTGCATTCATACGTCAGGTTTGTCTGATTCCTCCTATAAAATTGGCATGTCTTGTTTGACATTATTGAGCTAAATGGAACTGTCTGCTTGTTTTTGAAGCAGACCAGGTCATTTCCCTTTCCATGTCCTTGTGTATCATAGACCAATTACATGTCAATAAAAGGCCACAAAATCTAAATATCTTTAGCATGGGAGACTTAGGTTACTAAAAAATATCCATCCTGAGAGTAATGGAATAATTGGGAGAAGCCATGGACTATGAGTAGTTTTGTGGTGTGCCATGCAATTCTCAGAAGCTGAGCAGCAAAGATGTGCGAGAACATGTGTGCCCCCTGACTTCTACCACGAAATGGTTGCCAAAAAGGACTTGATTGTGCAGTGGGTAGCCCATGCAAAACATAATAAATGCTCTTACTGTGCATTTACTTCCCATTCAATGACAAGAAATTGTTCTAGGCTAAAACAACGTAGAGTGAAATCTGAAAAGCATTTGACGAGCAAAACTGTGTCTGACAGTAGTTGTTCCTTCTAAAAGCCCCTTTAAAGCCACATTCAAATGATGACAGCAGCTTTTTTCTGCTGCCATTTTTAGCTTCTGTTATGTTTGCCCATACATTATCTCCCTCACCACCACCCCTGCCGCCCCTTCCTGGGAAGATGGCCCATTCTTATGCCCTTGTTCAGGCTGCAAGTGAAAATGAATTTGATAGCCTGACCTCATCATCCAAGGTCAGGATCGAAATTGGCACATTTATCAGTCTCTGCTCAAAAAAAGGCCAAAGTCTAGAATTATGGAACCGTGATGCTTTGGGGATAGGCTGTCAAGATTTCGTGATGAAGTTTGTACAGTTCTGCCTGTATGTCTGTGACTAATCTGTTGCTGAATTATTCTTCTATCCACAAAATCATTTTTCCTCCCCACCACCACCCCAGTCCTTCAGTTCTATTTCACACACCCACAAACCACAGACTTGGGCTTTAACTCGGTTCTTCTGTTAGAGATGAGATCCGCAACCAAAATACTTTCAGATTTATTTGGCTAATGATTACAAATCATTGCCACATTTTAAAAGTTCCCTTTACCATGCGTATCTTGAAAAGTATACAAACAGCCTTGCACTTTTTTGCAAATATATATGGTAGTCTTGCTTTAGGGCTAAAATGTCCTTGAAAGACTTTTTACAAAATGTATTCAATAACGAAATGCAGAATTGATGCGGTGGTAAAGCGGTGGGTGGGGTGGGAGCCTGCATCAACTAAAAAGGGCACTGTATGCTAATAAGCAAATGTGAATCCTTATCAAGAACTGTTTCTCTAAATGGCAAAGAATCACTTTCCCTTTTTAGGGCTTGTAATGATTTTAAGACCTAAAATAAATGCAGCAGCTTGGGCATTAAACAATCATTAATGCTTCTCATGGGCAGAATCTTTTGCTATTGTGCTAACTTAAAGACGTAATGTGTTTGGATTTGATGAATAATGTCATTTGAAGTTTGAACTCTTATGTGTCTGCATATTGATGGGGCAGAGCCATTTATGGCTGGCAGCTGGCAAAATGTCCAGTGCTTCCTACAATATAGTTTAAGCAACTTATGTTTTTAAAATAATAATAATAATAATAATACAAGAGTGGCCTGTCCTTCTGGGAGGGTCAAAGTCCTTAGATCAAATGCTTTGAATTAAGCATGTTACAATTTGAATTCTTCGGAGCACATCTAGCTGTGCAGCACCTTGGACAGCAGCCAGAGAGGACACTACTGGACTAGATAATCCCTTTTGGTATAGGGCAACTTTCAGCTCTCTCTCATAATAACAGGTCTTAGGAGTCATTCAGTTAAATTAGCCATAGTTTTGGAACATATAAAAGACTGTGCTATATCATACAGCATTTAAGTTAAGAGAGAATGTGTTACCACAAGGTATTGTTTGGCCTGCTAGAATTCATGGATGAATTTGTATAGCCCATGTAAGTCATTATGCCCCACTTTAGTTTGACTACTCCTTTACATAGTACAGATGTGCCATATAAACTTTTGTTCCTTTCTTCATGGTGAGGAATGAGTGGAGAAAAGCCAGGGCCATCAATGGCCCCTTGCGGTAGTGCATGATATTGAAAGTGAGGTCTGCTGCTGAAATCTACAGCAAATTAACAAACTAGAATGAGTCAGTGCAACTTGTGACCCAGAAGGTTGAACCTCTCTCACCTTGGATGGTGGCTCACCAGAAACTTACAAGCCCTGTATTTTCTGCCTGTTTTGGACTGTAAAAATGTAAAGTAGGAGGTAAGGTATCTGTGTGTGGAAGGGAAGTCAAGCACCTGGTAGGTCAGAGTACATGGCTGGTGGACCAGGTTCTCTCGGTGGATCACAAACTGAACTAGATTTGGAGCATGTGACGCCTTCTTGCACAACAGGCATATCTAATGCTCATCAGAATACTCTTTTTTTCTTGCATGTCTTCACCACGATCTGTCACAGAACACAAGCTGGACACAAGAGTAAGTGAGTATGACATACTTATTGATTTCACTGTTAGTCAAGGGGCTTTGTTTATACATGCATTTTACAGCCGGAGTATTGGCCCTTGGGGAAAAGCCACGGCAATCAATTTAATTAGGAGGCTTTCAGAAATCATGTCTCTCCCATGTCTCTCCCCATTAACCTTAATGAACCCCAAGACATGTTTATAGTGCGTTTCCCCTTCGAAGGCTTCTGTATGGTAAGCATCAAAACGCCTCACTATAATGAGTGGGATCTGTGGTTTCCTTTTCCCTTTAAGGTTTTCTTTGATGGTGTTAAGCTAGAGTAGATTTGAACATTAAAAGGTCAGGGGGCTTTCAGCTTTGCTTCAAAAGGAGGCCCAACCACAACTTTTATAAGCCTTTGATATGAGATGATGAAGAAGAGTGATTTGGCCTAGAGGTGAGCCTGGGAAATCGGACAAACTCCACCTGAAAAGTTGTGGAAGTTCATGTCAATCTTCTTTTCAATCAAACAGAAGAAACTTTGAGGACAGTTCAGATGGATTATTCAGGATCAGAGTAGACTTGATGCTAACTGTATAGTTGTCATTATTAATGGTGGCAGTAAATCTAACTCCTCCCTCCTCCAAAATGTCTGATGTCACAATGTGTCCTGTGGCAAAATATTTATTTTATTTCGCAACATTTATATACTGCCCGATTGCCATACAGCCTCAAAGGAGTTTACAAAAAGCATAAAGTATGAAATTATCAGTTAAAAGCAAGTATCTAAAGCTTAAAATAAAATAAAATCAGACATAAGCTAAAACCAGATTAAAACACACGACAGCTTCTACACATACTTATCACAGAGCCCCATTTAACTATGTTTAACAACAGTAACTTAACATGACAGTGAACTGGTCAGAGATAGAGTTGTTCCTGGAGAGTATTCACATGTCAGCTGCCTCACTCTTCCCATAAATGGTACGCCATCTCATAACAGCAGACTCCTTTTTTGTGTCTATTTGTGTGTGTTTTGAATTGAAGGATTTTGAAATTATATGTCTCTCTGTGATGGTTGCTCTTTAAACATGGCTTAGTTAACCCATCAAAAGAGCCTGGAAGTTCAGAATGCCCTGGCAAACAAGAAGATTCCTTGGATTAAGCATTAGGAAGTTTTTTGAACTCTTAAGAGCAGTGAGAGGCTAGATAGGCACTTGCAAAAAGGGCAGTTGGTATTTGCTATGCAGGATAAAGATCAGATGATATGAGCATCGTTTCCTTTTCAGCTCTCATCTCATCGCAAGATCTTTGCATCTGCAGTGCTTCCTATTTATTAAGATCTTAACTGCAATATATTAATAATGGATTCTTTATGCTTTGAGGGACTTTTCTAGTTCATTTATTTTTCATGCTGTATTTTAGGAGTTGTATAAGTGTTATTATATTTTTACCATATGTAACTTTTGTTTATTATATTGCCATCCACTGAATTTCCCCCTTGGGAAAGCACAGCAGGATACAAATTAGGTTATATTTTATAATATAAATAATTCTGTGTGCAAACAAACACATAACTCTTCTCATCGGTTTGATAACTGTAAAATACCTCAACACTTCCATCCACCCAAACGTATATTGGAAGGCTGATGTTTCCAGATAAGTGCTCTGGTCCATGGAGTCACGAAGAGTCGGATACGACTAAACGACTAAACAACAACAACAAATGGGCATGATGCAATGATGGTTGTAGACTGTGACATCTTCTTTGAGAACACTTAAGGCTACAATCCTATACCCACATACCTTGGAGTAAGTTACACTAAGCTCAGTAGACTTACTTCTGAGTAGACATGTATCAGATTGCCCTGTAATCCTGACTTTAAATTCTTCCCACGGAAATAAATAGAACACGTACTGCAGCCCTCTACAGGCTCACTGTTGAATTGAATGGGTTTTACTTCTGAGTAGACATGCATGCATTTGCACTATTATGTTCTTAATTATGGCTGACCTATGGCCATTGCTGTTTCCCAGAAAAGCAATGCACTACCTAGTAGAAAATTCCAGCTCATCAGAGCTATATTCCAAATTGTCCAAAGATTTGGTCAGTTATACCAACAGTTCAATGAATTTATAATTACTATTTTGGGGTGGGGTGTGTGGCTGAAACAGAATATTTTAAGGTTGTAGAAATAACATTGGCAATGTCTCATTTCCCCATCATTTGGGCAACCCCAACAAAAACAATATGTGTTTTACTTTACTATAAACTGGTGGCCCATCAAGAAAGCAGGTAAAAGAGCACAAAATACCTGAACCCAAAACTGTAATGGTTTCCAGCCTCTTAGTACATGCAAATGGCTATACTTCACTGGTCGGCTAAGGGCATTATCTCAACAAAAGAACTGGTTTGGTAGCCTTTTCTACTAGATGCTAAACCTCCCTGGATATAGGTTCACAGGCCTGGAAGGAACCTGTGGATATCACCCAGACTGTTCCCCAAACCATAGATAGACACACAGAACCATACATAGATGGTTTGAGGGTTTTTGTTTCTTAACAATCAAGTGGTATATAATTTTTGTGAAATAAAATAAATAATAAAATAAAACAGAGAAATAGTTCTTATGCCTATATCATTGGCTAGTGCAGTAATTTCTGCACTCTTTCCCCCACAGACCACTGGAAAGTTGCTGGGGGGCTTGAGGGACCACTTAATGGTTTTCCTGTTGGTTTCTGCTTCTTCACTGAGCAGCGAATGCATGTCACAAGACATTGTTTTGCATTCCACAGTCCAAGTTACTGTTGGATTCCCACAGGAATGGGAGACTGGATGTGACGTTCACTGGTTTCCTGTTTTTCAGTGTTCTGTCGGTTTCTTTGTTAGAGAGACAGTTGCTTCTCTGCTCTCACAGAGGCAGGATGCATGTTTGTATGCTCTCAGCATAGCTTGTAAATAAATTAGCATGTAGCACATTTACCTGCTTATCCTTCTGCTGTGTGGACTACTCTGCTTGGGCTCAAGATAAGACGAGCCTGTATCAGCTTCAGATGGGCCGAAGCTGGTCAAAATCTCACATTTCCTACTTATGTAGCAATTGTAATGCCTTGTGCTCGATACTATATGATTTCCTATTGCATTTTTATATACATGTTCTTTGGGAACTCCTAGGCTAGTGGCCACCTAAAAATGCCATCTAATAACAATTTTTCAATGTATGCAATTTATTTTTGTCAATGTATACAGTTTTTGGGTTGTTGTTGTTTTTTGTATTGTATTCCATTGTCAGAGCTACTGTCCTTGAGATCCCATGAAGGACAAATGTAAATCTTAATGTACGCGATAACATGTACTGCTGTAGCATCTTCTAGTGTGACTCTAATTAGTAATTTAATACTCTGCCATTTGAAATAATCACACTCCACCGATAAATAGGAAACAAAGCACAGACATTGTCTACAATTCTGGCGACTGTTCAGCTGCTAACATGCCTCTCCCATAACTCTTTTGACTCTGTTAAGATAATCATGTACCATCTGCTTTTAGCCTCAGGCTGGCTGTGATGTGTGTTCAGGACAAATAAAAAGGACAATCAAAGGTATGCACCCTGCCCCTGGTAAGCATTGGGATCATCTTGCAATCTTTTTTAAACCAAAAATCTATAATATTTTCATTTGAATCTCTTCATTGGTATAGCTAGCATTCTTACACAAAAACCGAAAAATGGACATAAAAAATGACAAACAGCTGACATTTCTTTCTAATATTCCTTTAATTATGAGTTGCTGCAAGCGATGGAAATGTCACTCAGTGCTCTGAGGCCATTTTGTCCCTGCCAGGGTGGGTACCTTAAGGGACCTCTACTATGATGACTACTGAACTTTTAAACTTAGATTACTCACACATTTTGATTCACATGTGCAGATTAACTTCTAAGCAAATTAAAATTTGCCCCCAGGAAGAAATGACCCTTCTGCGCATGCCCCAGAATGTAACTTCCAGTTAAGAATAGGCCAGTCATGGAGAGAGAAAGTGTGTGTCTACAAGCATATACAACCTGGGCAGTCTCTATATTTAGAGTGCCTTATGAATGTATGGAGTTTGTGGCAAGGAACAGTGAAGAAATTCCTAATTTACTTTCCTTTATTATTATTAAATCTTTATTAATTTGAATTTAAAAAATATCAAAATGCAACGACATTTAATACAGACACAAAGTGAGAAAATAAAGAAGAAAGAAAATAAAAAGAGAAAAGAGAGAAGGAAAAAACAAAAAAAACACATAATACTATACATTTCATATATGTAAATGCCATATCATATTTACAAACTCTCAAAAAAGAACAAAAACATTACTGTGAATTAGCTAAAAAAAGTCTTCCAAATATTTTCATTTACTATATCTATTCTTTCCTTTATAATGCACAGTCTCAAATTAACTTAATTATTTTCGTACGTCCAAACATAATCTAATTTACTTTCCAAGCATTTGTTGAAAACAGGTCCAAGTATGGTAAATGGGAGAGATAATTTATGAACAAAAAGATATTTGAAAAGCTATGGAATACCTTCCCAAGCCAAAACATGGATTCTCATGTGATCAAGTTCAATATACTGCTATAAAAAATGAAGCACAGTTCTTCCCCGTGTGATCTTAATGTGTATAGTATGCTATATTTTAAAAATATTCCTCCATTGAGAGAGAGAGAGAAAGCTTCAAGTAATGCTACATAGTACAATATTTCAAATCAATGGAGCAAATTGCCTTCTGAAAGTAGATAACAAAGAGGCAAAAGCTACCTATGAAGCAAAATAAGGCCATAAAACAAAGTTATGCTGGGAGTAGATCACATCGCTTCCCTCTGTAAGACGGCTGCATAGAATGGATAGGTCTGTTTTATAGAAGAGCAATTATAGGAGAAGCACAAAGGAGTGTGGAGACCAAATGCACCCAGATGGGAAGATTGGGTGTCCTGGATACATTCCGGGATATTGAAAAAGTTCACTTGCTTTGTGACAAATGTGATGGCTAT